TAAGGCCTTAGTTTTAGTTTGAAGAATTCAATGCCTTTTAAGACTTTTTAAGGACCCGCAGGAACCCTGTAAAAACACTAGAATGAAGTCATTAAACCACGACCCATCTGAGAAAGAAAGCTCCCACCATGCTTTCTGTCATACAGAAATAGTCATTTGAACAGTCATTTCAAAGTTCTGATACTGACAATAATTTGATTTAACCGATGCTAAAGTATAACTTTACATTCTAGACAGAGATTCTTGGAAGAGATGTAATAAAATACAACTTTATTATCGTAATATTATGACTTTATTCTCATAATGTTGTAACATTATAAATTATAATGCTACAATTAATTAATTAATTAACTAATCACCACGAACGTGTTAGTTTTAGGTATAAATAATGATCTACTGATTATTCCTCACTGACCGGACTTTTCCGTTAATTAAGGATATTTTTTGTTATATTCTATTTTGAACATCATGGCAACAAACTGCATCCAGCTCCTTGTGTCTGCCGGTGATAAAAGCCAGAAATCCATTTACCTTCTTCATCTCTGCTCTCCACCACTTCAGGCTGAATATCTGATGCAAAAAAAGGAAAACAATTATTATTCAGCAGAGAAGACATGAGTATCTTTCACAGAAAAAACCTTAAAACAAAATATCCTACCGTTATTACAGGTGTCCTCAGCTTTCTTGTTGCTGCTTCGAACTTTTTTATGTCTCGTATTCTTAAAAAAAAAAATAAAATAAGAAAGTTGTGGATCAATGCCAGTAAGGAACACCAGCAATCAGCTGGTTCTATCTAAGGAAAACCAGCTGGTTTTCCTTAGATAGAAAACTTTGAATCAATCTGACTGGATGATCTGGTGAACTGGAAGAGATGACATGATGTGAATTGGAGCTATAGAAATAAACTGAATAGAACTGATCTCTTCTCAGGAAAAGAAGAGGAGACAGAAGAGCTTCAAGGTGGAAACACGGAGCTTTCCTTTACAATACAATTAATTTGAGATGTTTTTTTCTTAAACATCAATCATTTTATTTCATTGACAAATTGTCTTACCTGCTCAAATTAAGGGACATTCAAGAAAAATTTACTGACATATTATTAAATTTTTCATTTTGGATGATTCTAATATTAAATAAAAATTATTTGTTTCGTTTTTTTCCACTTCTTAATACTTACTTTTTGTTATAGTAAAACTAAACATGAAGAGTGAAGCTGAAAAAAGATGTTTAAAAGGCACAGCTTCTCTAACACAGTATGAATAAGATGGGGACGCACTGTGATGACGTCAATTGATTCATTCATTGATCAAATTTTAAAATCTGAATTACTAACTTTGATCACCACCTTGTTCGTTATAAATGCCTTTTCTGGTTTTCTAAATATTTAATTCCCACGTTTAAAACACAACAAATGTCTACTCATCGCATTTTTTTAGTGACTGTTTCTCAAACAGTTATTTATCAACGTAAAAAAAAAAACACTTCAACTGACAAAGCGGGAGTAATTATAACATTATTAACAGTAAAAATGTAACTTCAACTAGTTTTGAAATCTTAAATCATATTTTATAAAATCCTTTACACAAGTTGGGGTTGTTTCGCTAAGCTAGGCTGCTAACTAACAAGCTAGCATTAGCACATTATTTAGCATCGAAACAAACAAAATGACGCTAAGCTTCCACATTCTGCTAAAACCGCTTCCAGCTGTAGTTCACAGAGATAAAAATGTCATTCCTACCTGTTTCATTGTCATGTTATCCTCTAACAGCCGCTGACGTGCAGATAAACAAACGTGTTCTCAGCTGCAGATAGCCACATGCTACCTACTGCGCATGTGTGAAACCACCTTACTACGGAGGCCCGCAAGGACAGCGCGCTGTTCGGATACGTATGTGAAGGGTACTTCTGGATAGTTTATGATTTCTTCTTTTAATTAGAAATTTCTACCTTATTGATTCATATGTTTAAATAAGTCGATCCTAGAGTGGATTAAAACTATCTGTTTTAAACCAACGACCATTGAAATATAGAACTAACTCTCTAGATCCAGTCAGGCGGGTTCGCCTCCCGCAGTGTGTCGGTATTTTATGCAGATCTGTGTTTGTTTGTCTGAACAGGTTAAACTGGAACCAGAGGTCCAAGAAACCAAAGTCCAGGAACTGAGTTGGAGTCCCACTCATCCACCCACGGTCAGTGGGAGCTGACCATGGAGGACACGGGGTTCATCTGACTGACTGGGACACGCGATCATTTCCTTTAAATCCACGCGACCTCTAGAAGAATGGGCAGCCGGAAAAATGGCTTCACGAAGGAAAGCTTTATTTTATCTGTGGACGTCGGTACGACGTCAATCAGGTGCCATGTGTACGATAAGGAGGCGAACATCCGAGGATCCTGCACCAGCGAGGTATTCCCATCCCCGCGTGACACCGCGTCCTGTCACCCATTAGAAGCTGTCACCCACGGGAGGAGCTGCGCGTGTTTCCTCATAGAAACTGTT